GATAGTGTGTCATCACTAGTACCAGACTGGTCGTGGTGGTGAGAATAGTATGTCATCAGTAGTACCAGACTGGTGGTGGTGAGGATAGTGTGTCATCAGTAGTACTGACTGGTCGTCGTGGTGAGGATAGTGTGCCATCAGTAGTACCAAACTGGTCGTGGTGGGAAGATACTGTGTCATCAGTAGTACAAGACTAGTCGTCGTGGTGAGGATAGTGAGTCACAAGTAGTACCAGACAGGACGTGTTGTTGAGGATAGTGTGTCATCAGTAGTACTGACTGGTCGTCGTGGTGAGGATAGTGTGCCATCAGTAGTACCAAACTGGTCGTGGTGGGAAGATACTGTGTCATCAGTAGTACAAGACTAGTCGTCGTGGTGAGGATAGTGAGTCACAAGTAGTACCAGACAGGACGTGTTGTTGAGGATAGTGTGTCGTCAGTAGTACCAGACTGGTCGTGGTGGTGAGGATAGTGTGTCATCAGTAGTACCAGACTGGTCGTGGTGGAGAGAACAGTGTGTCATCAGTACTACCAGATTGGTCTTGGCAGGGAGGATAGTGTGTCATCAGTAGTACCAGACTGGTCGTGGTGGGGAGGATAGTGTGTCATCAGTAGTAACTGTTGAGAAATGTCTTTACCAGCTAAGTTTAAAGAGTTTGTACTTAACTTAGAAAAACAGCTCATCGCCTGCACAGCCGCCCCTGCAGACGAGGTCTTGAGAAGCTGTCGAAGTCATCTCTCAACGGGCTGTAAATGAGTTATAATTTGTAAGATTATAAATTACCCCTAGGGGGTGTTATGTCAGCATATTTCATTCACTGATGGCTGACAAACTTACTTGTGTGGACTCAAAAGTCCGCCCCTTATTGCCGACTATAGGTTGATTACAAACTCCTTGCGACTCAAGAACTGTGCAGTCCCCCATACTACAAGAAATTCGTAACCTACCTTGCTCTTGTAGCGTGAGCTATGGTGTTCTTCACACCTTCGACAGATATCGGTGACTTGATAGAAGCTGAAGTGTCCTTGGATGTCCACGTCTTCCATAGTCTAGGAAAATGCACACTGGTACACTATGTTCCACAAGATTTGTCTTTATTGTTCACAGTCTTATCACTAAAGAAGCTGATCACACTTCTCTTAAGTGTTTATTGTGTTTTATGAGACACTTTGTTCACACTAACGCACAGATCGTTCTTTGTTGGTTATCCTGGAGTCAGTGTCACTCTCTGTAGAGTCAAAAGTAATCTGAAGATGCCACAGCACCCCACGCCGTTACTCCCCCCAGCACAAAGGAAAACCTGACCTAGTACTTTTGCTTCCTTGCCACTTCCTCGATGAAGCAAAGCAGAATGTTTAAATCTTACTGTCTTAAGCATAGACAACAATGTCCACTATCTTTACTACGGTAATAAAGTGGGAGCAGGATTTTCCTTAATTGTCTTGCTAAGGTAAGAGATGAACTGTCTTTTATTAAGCTACACTTTGCAACACAGGACCACACGGAGTGTCGAGCCACGTCACATACTGGTACTGCATCTGGGGTCAATTACTCGCTGTAGCAGTAAACAAGATATTTGCCCCTTCTGAGAGGGCTGGGCCCCTCAGGGCTGAAAGGGGCTGAAGGGCTGAAGGGGGCTGAAGGGGGCTGATACCCCCCTCCTGGAGAAAATTTCTCCACACTGGGGGGCGGCAGAGGTTCGCTGCAGGTGAACTATATATTTCAAAGTTGTCGAAATAGTTTGGTTATTTAGAAATGTTGTGGTAAGATATGTTGAGTAAGATGGTGTGTAAATTTGAGAAGGAAGGAAGGATGGGTAGGTAAGTTTGAGAACAATAATACAAAAAGAACTTCAGCTGAATTTTATGGACTTAAGGCTCAGGGAGACTGACACCAGTGAGTCCATCTATCATCATTCTATCATGCAGGAGGAGCCACATGTCTATGGTGCATCCAACAAGATAAGCAGACTCTTGGATGTCACTACCGCCCGGCTCCGGCTGGGTTACAAGTATCTTTGGCAGGTTAAATCACCACCACCAGATGTAGACCAAACGAAATGTAAACTTTGCCAGATGGATTATTGTCACACCCTGCGTCATTATGTACTGGAGTGTGATCAAATTAATGAATTTAGAAACAACTCACTCAGAAGTGTTCAAGAAATGGCTAAGTATTTTATCCACAGTGGTATATTACAGACCATTCTGGAGAAATACCCTGACTTTGCTAGCTGTAAATAAAGCATTACCACATATGTGCATGTGTGTGTGTGTGTGTGTGTGTGTGTGTGTGTATGTGTGTGTGTGTGTGTGTGTGTGTGTGTGGTGTGTGTGTGTGTGTGTGTGTGTGTATGTTGTGTGCGTGTGTGAGTGTGTGAGTGTGTGTGTGGTGTGTGTGTGTGTACTCACCTACTCACCTAGTTGAGGTTGCGGGGGTCGAGTCCGAGCTCCTGGCCCCGCCTCTTCACTGATCGCTACTAGGTCACTCTCCCTGAGCCGTGAGCTTTATCATACCTCTGCTTAAAGCTATGTATGGATCCTGCCTCCACTACATCGCTTCCCAAACTATTCCACTTACTGACTACTCTGTGGCTGAAGAAATACTTCCTAACATCCCCTGTGATTCATCTGTGTCTTCAGCTTCCAACTGTGTCCCCTTGTTACTGTGTCCAATCTCTGGAACATCCTGTCTTTGTCCACCTTGCAATTCCTCTCAGTATTTTGTATGTCGTTATCATGTCCCCCCTATCTCTCCTGTCCTCCAGTGTCGTCAGGTTGATTTCCCTTAACCTCTCCTCGTAGGACATACCTCTAAGCTCTGGGACTAGTCTTGTTGCAAACCTTTGCACTTTCTCTAGTTTCTTCACGTGCTTGGCTAGGTGTGGGTTCCAAACTGGTGCCGCATACTCCAATATGGGCCTAACATACACGGTGTACAGGGTCCTGAATGATTCCTTATTAAGATGTCGGAATGCTGTTCTGAGGTTTGCTAGGCGCCCATATGCTGCAGCAGTTATTTGGTTGATGTGCGCTTCAGGAGATGTGCCTGGTGTTATACTCACCCCAAGATCTTTTTCCTTGAGTGAGGTTTGTAGTCTCTGACCCCCTAGACTATACTCCGTCTGCGGCCTTCTTTGCCCTTCCCCAATCTTCATGACTTTGCACTTGGTGGGATTGAACTCCAGGAGCCAATTGCTGGACCAGGTCTGCAGCCTGTCCAGATCCCTTTGTAGTTCTGCCTGGTCTTCGATCGAGTGAATTCTTCTCATCAACTTCACGTCATCTGCAAACAGGGACACCTCAGAGTCTATTCCTTCCGTCATGTCGTTCACAAATACCAGAAACAGCACTGGTCCTAGGACTGACCCCTGCAGGACCCCGCTGGTCACAGGTGCCCACTCTGACACCTCGCCACGTACCATGACTCGCTGCTGTCTTCCTGACAAGTATTCCCTGATCCATTGAAGTGCCTTCCCTGTTATCCCTGCTTGGTCCTCCAGTTTTTGCACCAATCTCTTGTGTGGAACTGTGTCAAACGCCTTCTTGCAGTCCAAGAAAATGCAATCCACCCACCCCTCTCTCTCTTGTCTTACTGCTGTCACCATGTCATAGAACTCCAGTAGGTTTGTGACACAGGATTTCCCGTCCCTGAAACCATGTTGGCTGCTGTTGATGAGATCATTCCTTTCTAGGTGTTCCACCACTCTTCTCCTGATAATCTTCTCCATGATTTTGCATACTATACATGTCAGTGACACTGGTGTGTGTGTGTGTGTGTGTGTGTGTGTGTTTGTGTGTATGTGTGTGAGTGTGTGAGGTGTGTGTGTGTGTGTGTGTGTGTGTGTGTGTGTGTGTGTGTGTGTGTGTGTGTGTGTGAGTATGAGTGTGTGTGTGTGTATGAGTGTGTGTGTGTGTATGAGTGTGTGTGTGTGTGTGTATGAGTGTGTGTGCGTGTGTGTGTATGAGTTTGTGTGTGTGTGTGTGTGTGTGTGTGTGTGTGTGTGTTTGTGTGTGTGTGTATGAATTTGTATGTGTGTGTGTGTGTGTGTGTGTGTGTGTGTGTGTGTGTGTGAGAGAGACTCAGCAATCAACATTTGCACCAATAACTCACTACAGTTGTGACCGGGTGTGGAAGTGTGAATTGCTCATTACTCTAAAATTTGTTCATGATTGCAGCCATGTACAAACGTAAGTAACCATTCTTACAGTATTCATTACCTTTGTAACTTGTGAGTTCATTACCTTTGTAACTTGTGAGTTCATTACCTTGTACCTAGTTTAGCCATCAAAACTTTGGAGCCCGGTCCCTGGACCCATTGTGTACCTCTGTAATCTGTAAATACCTTTGTAACTTGTCATGATTGTGACTAGACCTACCTGGAGTTCATTACCTTTGTAAATTGTGAGTTCATTACCTTTGTAAATTGTGAATTCATTACCTCTGTAACTTGCTCAGCTATCAAAACTTTGAGGCCCAGTCCGTGGACCAATTATGTACCTCTGTAATCTTTTGACTACCGCCCACAGGATGGGTATGGGGTGCATAATAAACATATTAAACTAACTTAAACTAAGGATGGGTAGGGGGATATCTAAACAAGAGCTGGAGCAAGAGTGTAAAGGTGGTTTATAAATTGTGAAGGCTTTAGCATCCAGCATGCGTCTTTGAGCATCTTACATCAGAGTGAATAAAAATGTATTTTTGAGATTTGAAGAGTTGTTATTGTGAGGAAGGTAACATTTACAAAGGGATTTGTAATCGGAATTGCAGTAAGCTGATGAGGTAGAAAATACAGTGCCTCGTCCCCATGACTCTTATGAAGTGAAGGCGATACCACTGAGCTACGAGTCCTATTAACAAGTGTCCACTGTACTTCCAATCTTATATTTTGTGCTTCTACAATACACTTTTGTGTTAGGCTTAGTCTTCTCACATATATTTTCCTGTAACTGGCGTTGTGTGTACTTAATGATCACTAAAGTGTTATTCCTTTACAGCTGCAGGTGGAGCACCCGTACTGCTATGTCAACCCAGTGGCTTTGTCTGATGTTCTTCCTGAAACCACCTCCACACCCACCCAGCAGTCCCTCCCGCAAAACCAGCAACCCAAATCTTTGCAGCACCCAAAGCTACTCCAGGAATCCAAGCCGCTTGAGCAACTCAAGCCATTACACCAGTCCAAGACCCTCCACGATGCCAAATCTACACAAAATGGGTTGCCTCCCGGCGACAACCACGTCTCTCAGGGGCTCAACATTATTTATACTCCCGAGTTTAATACCAAAGTGTGTGACAAGCCACTGGTAAGTGCAGGGGAGAACCACGAGGGTACCACCATCCACTACAACAATGGTCGCGTCAAAAGTCCTCTTGTCGAGTCTTTTGCCGCTAAGCTCGAGGCTGACCTCAGGAAACTAGAGAGTGACCGTCAGAGAGCCGAGGGTGAAGTGCTGAGGCCGCTAACGGAAACAATAATTCATGACGATACTGATTCAGTTTCTCAATATGTGTGGAAGGAGAGTGAAAGAAGCCTGGGCTTCCAGGACGAGGAGGAGCCGTACCGGCGGTACTACTGTGTAAACTTCGAGGATGATAGAGGTGTGGAGAGCGAGGTGTGGAAGCCTTCAGAACTGGAGGAAGTCTTCGAGTGCTACAACATGGCTGCCTTCTACTCCTACGGCGCCACCCTGCAGGTAGGTCTTCGTCGTTATCACCAGTAGCACAGCTGTGCCACCCTGACGGTAGATCTTCATCGTTATCACCAGTAACAGCGGAGCCACCCTGCAGGTAGGTGCTCATCGTTATCACCAGTAGCACAGCGGCGCCACCCTGCAAGTCCTCATCGTTATCACCAGTAGCACAGCGGCGCCACCCTGCCGGTAGGTCCTCATCATTGTCACCAGTATCACAGCAACGCCACACTGCCGGTAGGTCCTCGTCGTTATCACCAGTAGCACAGCGGCGCCACTCTGCCGGTAGGTCTTAATCGTTATCACCAGTAGCACAGTGGCGCCACCCTGCCAGCAGATCTTTATCTTTATGACCAGTAGCACAGTGGTGCAACCCTGCCGGTAAGTCCTCATCATTATCACCAGTAGCACAGCGGCGCCACCCTGCCGGTAGGTGCTCTTCGTTATCACCAGTAGCACAGCGGCGCAACCCTGCCGGTCCTCATCATTATCACCAGTAGCACAGCGGCGCCACCCTGCCGGTAGGTCTTCGTTATCACCAGTAGCACAGCGGCGCCACCCTGCCGGTAGGTCCTCATCGTTATCACCAGTAGCACAGCGGCGCCACTCTGCTGGAAGGTCCTCATCGCTATCACCAGTAGCACAGCGGCGCCACCCTGCCGGCAGGTCTTCATCGTTATCACCAGTAGCACAGTGGCGCCACCCTGCCAGCAGATCTTTATCTTTATAACCAGTAGCACAGCGGCGCCACCCTGCCGGTAGGTCCTCTTCGTTATCACCAGTAACACAGCGGCGCCACCCTGCTGGTAGGTCCTCATCGTTGTCACCAGTAGCACAGCGGCGCCACCCTGCCGGTAGGTCCTCATCGTTATCACAAGTATCACAGCGGCGCCAACCTGCCGGTAGGTCTTCATCGTTATCACCAGTAGCATAGCGCACCACCCTGCCGGTATGTCTTCACCGTTATCACCAGTAGCACAGCGGCGCCACCCTGCCAGTAGATCTTCACAGTTATCACCAGTAGCACAGCGGCGCCACCCTGCCGGTAGGTCTTCATCGTTATCATCAGTAGCATAGCGGCGCCACCCTGCCGGTACATCCTCATAGTTATCACCAGTAGCACAGCAGCGCCACCCTGCTGGTAGGTCTTCATCGTTATCACCAGTAACACAGCAGCGCCACCCTGCAGGTAGGTGTTCATCGTTATCACCAGTAGCACAGCGGTGTCACCCTGCTGGTAGGTCCTCATCGTTATCACCAGTAGCACAGTGGCGCCACCCTGCCAGTAGGTCCTCATCATTATTACCAGTAGCATAGCGGCGCCACCCTGCAGGTAGGTCCTCATCGTTATCACCAGTAGCATAGCGGCGCCACCCTGCCGGTAGGTCCTCATCGTTATCACCAGTAGCACAGCGGCGCCACCCTGCCGGTAGGTCTTCATCATTATCACCAGTAGCACAGCGGCGCCACCCTGCCGGTAGGTCTTCATTGTTATCACCAGTAGCATAGCGGCGCCACCCTGCCGGTAGGTCCTCATCGTTATCACCAGTAGCATAGCGGCGCCATCCTGCCGGTAGGTCTTCATCGTTATCACCAGTAGCACAGCGGCGCCACCCTGCCAGTAGATCTTCATAGTTATCACCAGTAGCACAGCAGCGCCACCCTGCCGGTAGGTCTTCATCGTTATCACCAGTAGCATAGCGGCGCCACCCTGCCGGTAGGTCCTCATCGTTATCACCAGTAGCACAGCGGCGCCATCCTGCCGGTAGGTCTTTATCGTTATCACCAGTAGCACAGAGGCGCCACCCTGCCGGTAGGTCTTCATCGTTATCACCAGTAGCACAGCGGCGCCACCCTGCAGGTAGGTCCTCATCATTATCACCAGTAGCACAGCGGCGCCACCCTGCCAGTAGGTCCTCATCGTTATCACCAGTAGCACAGCAGCACCATCCCGCCGGTAGGTCTTCATCGTTATCACCAGTAGCACAGCGGCGCCACCCTGCCCATAGGTTCTCATCGTTATCACCAGTAGCACAGCAGCGCCACCCTGCCGGTAGGTCCTCATCGTTATCACCAGTAGCACAGCGGCGCCATCCTGCCGGTAGGTCTTTATCGTTATCACCAGTAGCACAGCAGCACCACCCTGCCAGTAGGTCTTCATCGTTATCACCAGTAGCACAGCGGCGCCACCCTGCAGGTAGGTCCTCATCATTATCACCAGTAGCACAGCGGCGCCATCCTGCCGGTAGGTCCTCATCGTTATCACCAGTAGCACAGCAGCGCCATCCTGCCGGTAGGTCTTCATCGTTATCACCAGTAGCACAGCGGCGCCACCCTGCCGGTAGGTTCTCATCGTTATCACCAGTAGCACAGTGGCGCCACCCTGCAGGTAGGTCCTCATCGTTATCACCAGTAACACAGCGGCGCCACCCTGCCGGTAGGTCCATCGTTATCACCAGTAGCACAGCGGCGCCACCCTGCCGATAGATCTTCATAGTTATCACCAGTAGCACAGCAGCGCCACCCTGCCGGTAGGTCTTCATCGTTATCACCAGTGGCACAGCGGCGCCACCCTGCCGGTAGGTACTCATCGTTATCACCAATAGCACAGTGGCGCCACCCTGCCAGTAGACCTTCATCGTCATCACCAGTTGCACAGCGGCGCCTCCCTGCCAGTAGATTTTATTCGTTATCTCCAGTAACACAGCAGCGCCACCCTGCCGGTAGGTCCATCGTTATCACCAGTAGCACAGCGGCGCCACCCTGCCGGTAGATCTTCATAGTTATCACCAGTAGCACAGTGGCGCCACCCTGCCGGTATGTCTTCATCGTTATCACCAGTGGCACAGCGGCGCCACCCTGCCGGTAGGTACTCATCGTTATCACCAGTAGCACAGTGGCGCCACCCTGCCAGTAGATCTTCATCGTTATCACCAGTAACACAGCGACGCCACCCTGCAGGTAGTGGCTCATCGTTATCACCAGTAGCACAGTGGCGCCACCCTGCCAGTAGATCTTCATCGTTATCACCAGTAACACAGCGACGCCACCCTGCAGGTAGGTGCTCATCGTTATCACCAGTAGCACAGTGGCGCCACCCTGCCAGTAGACCTTCATCGTCATCACCAGTTGCACAACGGCGCCACCCTGCCGGTAGATCTTCATCGTTATCACAAAGTAGCACAGCGGCGCCACCCTGCCGGTAGATCTTCATCGTTATCACAAAGTAACACAGCGGCGCCACCCTGCCGGTTGGTCCTCATTCTTATCACCAGTAGCACAGCGGCGCCACCCTGCCGGTAGATCTTCATAGTTATCACCAGTAGCACAGCGGCGCCACCCTGCCGGAAGATCTTTATAGTTATCACCAGTAGCACAGCGGCGCCACCCTGCCGGTAGATCTTCATAGTTATCACCAGTAACACAGCGGCGCCACCCTGCTGGTAGATCTTCATAGTTATCACCAGTAGCACAGCGGCGCCACCCTGCCGGTAGATCTTTATAGTTATCACCAGTAGCACAGCGACGCCACTCTGCCGGTAGATATTTATAGTTATCACCAGTAGCACAGCGGCGCCACTCTGCCGGTAGATCTTTATAGTTATCACCAGTAACACAGCGGCGCCACCCTGCCGGTTGATCTTCATAGTTATCACCAGTAACACAGCGGCGCCACCCTGCCGGTTGATCTTCATAGTTATCACCCTTAACACAGCGGCGCCACCCTGCCGGTTGATCTTCATAGTTATCACCAGTAACACAGCCATAGGGAGGGGATTCTAAACCCTCCTAGAGGCAAATTTCACACACATATTGAAAGTCACATGTTGTTAATAAGGACAATTGCTTTGATGTTTTTTATCATCTAATATTTTTAAGGAACCTGTTTACCCCAGAATAACATCCTGCCGGTGCTACTGGTTATCATTATCGTCCACTCACCTCACACTAAATAATATCCTAATTATTTGTTATAAGTACTGTGTAACTATTACCTTTAAGAACTTAATTTATTGTATATGTCGGTCACTACTCCTAGTCTTATATCCTAATCTACCACTACTCCCCATGCTCACATCCGGTGGCCTGGTGGCTAAAGCTCCCGCTTCACACGCGAAGGTCCGGGTTCGATTCCCGGCGGGTGGAAACATTTCGACACGTTTCCTTACACCTGTTGTCCTGTTCACCTAGCAGCAAATAGGTACCTGGGTGTTAGTCGACTGGTGTGGGTCGCATCCTGGGGGACAAGATTAAGGACCCCAATGGAAATAAGTTAGACAGTCCTCGATGACGCACTGACTTTCTTGGGTTATCCTGGGTGGCTAACCCTCCGGGGTTAAAAATCCGAACGAAATCTTATCTTATCTTATCACTACATGTACCTCTACTCCTACCTACTACTACCACTACATCTACCACTACTACATCTACCACTACCATCTCTACTTTATATTTCTTCTACCTCCTGTGTCTCCCGTCCCCGCCCCCTCCTCCTTTCCCCGCCCCCTGCTCCTGTCCCCGCCCCCTCCTCCTGTCCCCGCCCCCTCCTCCTGTCCCGGCCCCTGCTCCTGTCCCCGCCCCCTCCTCCTGTCCCCGCCCCCTCCTCCCATCCCCGTCCCCTCCTCTCGTATATATACTGGCTCCCTTACCTTCGCGCTTCTGTGTTACATGCCAATGGTCAATGGTCCCTTGCTTTGAAGGTTCTCACTATCCATCCTATCATTTTCCTCGCAGATGTGATAGTGGCACTGTTGTGATTATTGAAGGTGAGATCCTCTGACATTAGCACTCCCAGGTCATTCACACCCCTTCTTCACTCTGTTGTGTGGTTAGAGTTTGTAGCATACTCTATTCTTGCTATTATTTCCTCCACTTTTCCATAGCAGAGTAGATGAAATTTGTTCTCATTGAACATCATACTGTTTCCTGTTGCCCATTGGAAAACTTGTTTTATATCCGCTTGGAGATTTATTGTATTCTCAATGGATGACATTCTCATGAAGATCCTAGTATGGTGTCTGCAAAGGATGACAGGGTGTTATGGTTTATATCTCTGTCTACGTCTGATATGAGGATGAGGAACAGGTGGGGGGGCGAGTGCTGTGCCTTATGGAACAGTTTTTCACTGTGACAGCCTCCGACTTCACACTGTTGACCACTACTCTTTGTGTTCGATTGGTTAGAAAGTTGAAGATCCATCTGCCCAGTTTACTAGTTTTCCATTTAGCAAGTATTTTGTGCATATTATACCATGATTAGATTCAGATTAGATTAGATTTTGCCGCCGAAGTGGCTAGTTTATTGTGCACCCTATACCCACCCTGTGGAAAGTAAAGACATTATTATTGTGATGAAGGCTGGAGGTGAGTACCATCAGGACCCCGAGATTATACCATGATCACACTTATCAAAGGCTTTTTCAAAATCCTGTATACTATATCTGCATTCTGTTTGTCCTTCAGTGCATCCAAGACCGTATCATACTGGTCAAGTAATTGTGAGAGGCAGGAGTGACCTGCTCTACACCCATGCTGCCCTGGCTTGTATAATTGTTGGGAATCCAAGTGACTGGCGATCATGCTTCTTGGAACTCCTTCCAAAATTGTTATGATGTTAGATGTTAGCGCTGTTGGTCTATAATTCTTTGGCATTGCGTTACTGTCACGTTTATTGAGTAGGGCTATATCCATTGTTTTTAGTGAATGTGGGATTACACCTATGTTCAGGCTCCCTCTCAATAGTTCTTGATGAGCACAGAGTTCCACGAGTCTGAGCCTGGGGCAGAATGTATGGGCATGCTGCCAATGGCTTTTTCAAAGCCCAGTGGAGGCTCATTCATGAAAAAATCATTTGGATTGTAAATCTTTACACTGATTAATGGCTTGCTAAACACAGAGTCATACTAAGACTTCAGTGTCTCGCTCAGTTCTTTGTTGCTACATGTGTAAGTTCCATCTTGTTTGATACTGGATGTGGGTTTTTCCTTGTTTCTGGCATACGAAAAGAAATATTTTGAATTTCTTTCAATTCCATTGTTTTTGGCTCCTGCGTCTCCTGGATCCTGTATGAATCATGTAACTTAAGTTCAACATTTTCCACTTCCCTAGTCAGTCCTTCCTTTCGTATTTCAGATAATCTAGGCACCTTGAGCAGCTCAGTGATTGTTCACCTCCTGTAGAGGGAGCGTCTCTGCAGTTTAATTCTTCTCTCCTTTTTTTCTTAGGGTAATATGCCTTGGACATGCTGCAGTTGCCAGAAAGTTGATCCTTTCAAGGCTTGGATCCATGTTGTTTAAGATATCTTCCCAACATGTTTCGTTTAGGACATGATTTATCAGATTCCAGGTGATGTTCTTGTTGATGAAGTTGAATTTGGTGAAGGCTCCCTCGTAGCTGTATGCATTTTGCTGGTCAGGACACCTGTGCAAGAAAAAATGGTTATGACTATGACCATAATTTTTAAAGGGGGTGGACCAGTAAGGCCTCCGTCAGATAACCAAAAAGCTCCAACGGCGGGTCGTCATTTAAGACCCAAGTCAGGAAACACTTGTCCTGTTTCCTCACGAACCTTACCTAACCTAACCTAACCTAACCTAACCTAACCTAACCTAACCCAACCCCCTGTGCATACAAGTGTGGACTTTGATCAGATTATGATCAGAATTAGTGTTTTTAATATTGTTTCTTACCAGGTCATCATTATTCGTGAAAATAGTCAAGTTTGTTTCCCAGTCTTGGTTGCTCCACTGTCTGCTGGCTTAAGGTAACTTTATTGTAGAGATTTTAGCAACTTATGTGAGTGACTCTTCATCTCAACTGTCTCCAGGGATTTTCTCTGCTATAACATTATTTACTACTTTCTTCCATCCAATTTCCTAGATCAACACTGATTAATTACAGAATTTTTGCTCCTAATATATATATATATATATATATATATATATATATATATATATATATATATAATATTATATATATATATATATATAATTTCCTCAAGAAATTAAAATTTAAATGAGAACAAACATATTTACTGGGGAATTTGGTAGTAGTGGGAGCACAATGTGAAATTAATTGGTACCAGACCTGGATGAAAGTACCAGACAACTATTGCATCATCCCAATGTTAAACACATTTTTTTTATATATATATTTCAAGACATTTACACTCGTCGGTTATTTAAATATGATCTTATACCAATTAAAATAATTCAAATACTAAATGTTTCTTTGAGTACACTCTAATTTTTTTTTTTTTTTTTTATTCGCCGGTACTCTCCCGGCCCGGGTCTTTTCCAAGTAGTGGTGACCCGGCCTTGGCTCCCTATCTGGGGAGTGTCTCGAGACCTAAGGGGGGAAGTGAGGGATTTTTTCAGCGCTCTCAAGAAAAATTCGAAAATTTATGAAAATGAGTTATTCATATAGAAAAATAGCTTAACTCTTTGGCAACACAATGGTACAAGAATCAATGTTCTACAACGTTTCTACAAGAAATTATAGTCATTTATATCAGGTATGGTGGCGGCGATGTAGGTAGCGCGTCTGTTCTCAACCTATGTATTTTTTGGAATTTTTTCCTTGTTTTTTATCGCTTTTTCTTTGCATTATTCTTTCTAATATAATAATTGATTATTTGGCATCATATAAGAGTAGGTGGAGCTTATCAATAGACGTCTAGCCTATCGGGAAGCACCTGGGTACACTCGGCAGTGATCCCTCTCCAGAGAGTGCCAGGTGAAATCATTTCATTATTACGCTTATATCAGCTTATATATTAACTATACGGCTTATTTATCTATCAGAATTGATCTAATATGATATAATAATCACTGTAAATAACAAACAAACATGTTATATACTCTAGACTGAATAAAATAGGCCATAATATAGCGAGAGTCGACCAGCAATATTTCGATATAAAAAAGTTACTCCTCGTCTCCATGTTGTATTGTTTGGTCTGTGAGTGAGAGAAAACGATGTTTTGAAGAGGATAACTGCACTAGAACATCAGTTTACTAAGAAATACACCGAAACAAACGCGATTTTCGCGAAAAAATAAAAATTTTTTTTTGACGGTAGGCCAACCGGCGTTCTAGGCCTATGTCTCGGAAGTAACTTATTCACTTATTTCGCGGACCTGAACCATTATTAATGATTGTATTGAAATGATTTTCACAGACAATATAAAACAAAGTGTGTTTTAATTTTTAATGTTGGATTTTTTGGAATATCTCAAATATTTTTGATTTTGTGGGGGGTAAAAGGCAGATATTTTGGTGAATGCCAAATATTCTGTCAAATGTATTTTTTTTTACCATGATAATAAGATATATTAGATGAAATGGCAACGTAAAAGATTCGTGCTAGTTGTATTCTAACAGTTGGGAATGTCGGAAGTGCCACTCGTAGTGCCAATTTGTCAGGGGATGCTGCCATATATCAAAATTATGTTAATATTTTTTTTCTATGTTGTTTGTTGGCCAATCATACTGAAACTTTGTCACATTAAACTATATATGCACCTCTAAAAGTACACCAAAAATAAAATAAATCGGTTGAAAACAAAAAAAAAAAAAAAAAAATCCCTCTCCCTCCTAAGTCTCCTATGGGAGGAGGTACAAATACCCCCTCATCTTTGGGACCAACTATCCCTAGGCCTAGCCACATTCTCCGCCCTCAAGGGGCTCATAAGGAGAAGCTAGGCCTCTGGTCTGCCATCTGCCCCGCCCCAAAGGGGCTCGTGGGGATGGCAGTCTTATGAGCTGCAGATGGCAGCAAGCTCAGGCCTTTTACACACTCTAATAATAATTGTTAATGATAACCCGAAAAATGTTAAATATTTTTTTCAGTTGCTATTTAATTTTGGTTTTCATTATTGTTCTTGATAGCTACAGTAATTTCATCCATTTCAGATAAGTGAAAAATTCCCTTCGAAAATCAGAGGAGAAAAATACGAAGAGATCTTCCCCACCTCCTTCCATAATAACAACAATAATAACACCATTGTTAAAGTGTTTAAGTCAGCGAGTGAAAGTGGCCAAACACTCGCCCTGACTGACACTAACAGTGTTCTCAAAGAAAACCTTCCCGAGAACGAGAGTGTTCAGAGAAAACAAACACTGACTGAGGACCAACTCAAGGAACTAGTGTGCCGCTGTGTTGAGGCAGAGAGTGTCGGTGATGTCAATTTTTCTTTCCCCGGCGAGGGTACAAGTACTAACGTCATGTGTTATGATAGTGTATACTTTGGTGACAGGAGCTTTAATAAGTTACTAATTTTTGATCTAGTCAAGTCTGTAATGTCTGAATGTAAAGAATATTATCCGCACTCCCTGTCGTTGTGTGTCGACTACCCTGTTCACTTAGTACAAAATAGAGTTCTGTGTATCCTGCAGAAGGCAAAAGACGATGCAAATCTCAATCCTACTGGAATGCAAGTGTTCCGGAGTGGCTCACTGTGTGTGTCAGAGAGCAACTGGCAGCATAAGCAGCTGCTGGCAGACACACTTGTAGAGAGCATTGTGGAGTCAGAGGTGCACCTGCAAGACCCAGCCTGGCAAGACTTCAGTCAGGAAGAACTGGAACTGAAAGAGGCTATATCAAACGAACTATTGAATGATCTCATCAGTGAAAGTGCCACTTTATTTAGTTCTATCCTAAAGAAAAAGTTACTGCAGTAGGACTGTGTTCAAAATACATATACAAAAGGGAGCAAGTGAGAAATATTGTGAATGATTATAACCGTAAAGGCAGATCATATGTACGTGTGTGTGTGATATATATATATATATATATATATATATATATATATATATATATATATATATTATATATATATATATATATATATAATATATATAATATATATTATATATGCAAAACAACCACTGAAAAAAATAGTGAAATTCCAAGAACTTTTGTGACTTATCACATTATCAGTTCCTTAATAATAATAATAATAATAATAATAATAATAATAATAATAATAATAACAATAATAATAATAATATATTTACTACAAGTACATGTACAAGGTATACAGCCCTAGCTGACATCAACTATATAGAAACCCGCTTGTTATGCAGAGCATTTCGGGAAAATTAGGTCAATTTTGTCCCAGGATGCGACCCACACCAGTCGACTAACAACCAGGTACCCATTTTTCTGATGGGGAACATAGACAACCGGTGTAAAGAAACACTCCCAATGTTTCTACCCTCGCCGTGTGAAGCGAGAGCTTAACCATTATTTGTTTCTTGATAATATGAGAAGTCACGAAAGTTTAGTTTAATAGTTTAATATGTTTATTATGCATCCCATATCCATCCTGTGGGTGAGGTAGTCAAAAGATGACAGAGGTACATAATGGGTCCAGGGACTGGACTCCAAAGTTTTGATAGATGAGCAAGTTACAGAGGTAATGAACTCACAATTACGAAGGTAATGAACTCACAATTTACAAAGGTAATGAACTCCAGATAGGTCTGGTCACAATCATGACAAGTTACAAAGGCATTTACAGATTACAGAGGTACGTAATGGGTCCAGGGACGAGTCACGAAAGCGCTTGGAATTTCACTATTTTTTTACAATTCCAAGCGCTTCCATGACTTCTTACATTATCAGTTCCTTGATAATGTGAGAAGTCACAAAAGTGCTTGGAATTTCACTATTTTTTAACAGTGGTTTTTCTGTATATTGTGATATCACCTGTTTACTGAGATCTTATTGCATATTAGAGATGTATTGGAAGTGAAAATTTAGATATCCATGAATGCGGATGTGTATGAGGATGTCTTACTTATTTTGCAGATGCATATGCAGATATTCGATACATCTCTATTGCACATGTACATTGTATGGTCTCTTAAGGCAGGACAATTTGTCGTGGGGTCAAACCCAGGCCTGCCGCAGTTTGATAAATGGCATATATATATATATATATATATATATATATATATATTATATATATATATATATATATATATATATATATATTCTTTCAACACACCGGCCATATCCCACCGAGGCGGGTTGACCCAAAAGGAAAAACGAAAGTTTCACCTTTTACATTTAGTAATATATACAGGAGAAGGGGTTACTAGCCCCTTGCTCCCGGCATTTTAGTCGCCTCTTACAACACGCATGGCTTACGGAGGGAGAATTCTGTTCCACTTCCCCATGGAGGTAAGAGGAAATAAACAAGAACAAGAACTAGAAAGAAAATAGAAGAAAACCCAAAGGGGTGTGTATATATATGTTTGTACATGTATGTGTAGTGTGACCTAAGTGTAAGTAGAAGTAGCAAGACGTACCTGAAAACTTGCATGTGTATGAGACAGAAAAACAAAGACACCAGCAATCCTACCATCGTGTAAAACAATTACAGGCTTCCGTTTTACACTCACTTGGCAGGACGGCAGTACCTCCCTGGGCGGTTGCTGTCTACCAACCTACTACCTAGAATATATATATATATATATATATATATATATATTATATATATATATATATATATATATATATTATATATATATATATATATATATATATATAATCATTTATAAAACTGCGGCAGGCCAGGGTTTGACCCCACGACAAATTGTCCTGCCTTAAGAGACCATACAATGTACATGTCACCTTGTCCACTCTGCCATCGATCCTACAAACAACATGAGTCCAGCGAACTAGGCTTATTTCATGTTGCGAGGACACTCGTAGCAGTGGTATGCTCAAGGATTAAATTCAGCCTCCTGTTTGAATACCCACCTCAACAAGCAGTCTATATAGCATTGAAATCACGACACCAAAAACTTGTTTTTTCGAATATTTTTTTTAAAAATTAAGTTGAATTTTAAGCTTGTGTGACTTGATCAGTGCAGAGGAAAATTGGGAAACAAAAGAGATAAGATTAGGGAAGCTTAGGGAGAACATTGTGAAGTGTCTTGTGGTATCCATTAATGCAATAAGATCATAATAAACAGGTGATATCACAATAAATTCTCCTTTAATCACGCCAGTCCATCAGACTGGAAGCAGTGTGTTGGATCATCGTTATAATAAACTCAGAAGAATTTTTAATGAACTTAAAAATATACTGCAAAGAAAATTAGTGTCTAATTGAAAACAGTGATTGGACAAAGCATATCAACAACAACTTTATAATTAACTTATCAGATAAAATATTAGATAAAAATATAACTGCTGCTCAATCCTTCGGTTTAAGTTTCGCAACTTCAAAAAAAAAAATTAATAGTGTGGAAATTACAAAAGCCTTTTGTGACTCAGAAAAATCCTCTGATTTATCCACTGATGAAATTAATATAAATAAGGGATAGTTTATAACTCTGTAATAAAACAAAATATTCCCAATTACCTTCAAAGATTTTTTTAAGTCTTATGAAAAACTTATTAATAATAAAAATTTACATATTTCTAAAGCAGACAAAATAAATGAAATAGTAATTTTGAAAGAAACTGATTACCGAAGAGAAATAAATTACTTTTTAAATGATACAGAAACTTATTCTAAACTTAGAAAGAATCACTTAGATTCTGTTAACAGTAATTTTAATAAAATTATAAAACTGCCATTGAAAGCAAAGATGAATTAATTAAAAAATTCACGTCCACTAATCCATCTTTACCCTACATGTATAAATTAGTAAAAACCCACAAACCAGGTAATCCAGTTAGACCAATTATTACTTCCATAGGTTCAGTTTCATATAAATTATCTAGATGGCTCGTACATTTTTTGAGCCCAATTGTTGTTGGAAAAAAATCTAACTTTAATGTTAAAAACAATATAGATTTAGTAGATAAATTAAGCAACTTCATTGATTTAAATGATTTTAACATGATTAGTTTTGATGTTACTTCCTTGTTTACCAAAGTTCCAGCTGATGATTTATTAAGTTTCTTATCTGAAGAACTTATTAATTACAATTTACCATTACCAGTTCCTACTGTCATTAAACATGTTAAACATTGTATTGCTGATGCAAAGTTTGTGTTTAATGACAAGTTTTACACTCATTAGTTTGGTATGACAATGGAAAATTCTCTCTCACCTGTCCGTAGTAATTTGCATATGGAATATTTTGAGACAAGATTGCTTAACAAAATCCTTCCCAATAGAGATAAGTGGTATAGATATGTTGATAATATTTTATGTCTTATGCCTGAGAATATAGATATAAACCATTTCCTTGATAAATTAAATAATCTAGCTCATTCCATAAATTTTACTGTTAAGATGGAACAAAATAACTCATTGCCTTCTCTAGATGTTTTAATTATTAAGGGGAACCATGGTTTTAAATTTAAAATTTACAGAAACCCAACAGATAACTGTTCCTATTATTCTTTACGTCAAAATAAAATTAAACTATGTTTCCTCATCAATTTTTTTGAGAACTTTACGTATTTGCAGTCCAGAGTTCATAGATGAAGAAGTCTCGAAAATTTATGAAACAGCAAATGACCTAAAATATCCAAGAAACTTAATTGATAATTTGTTTAAAATTGCTAGAAATACTTTTCACAATTCAGAGAGGGACATCCAGCCTTATTCAACTAAAAATATGTTGCTTCTCCCTTACCATGAAAACTTGATTGATATGTCTTCTCTATTTAAGAACTTTAATATCATAGTTGTATTTAAAACTCTTGATACAGTAAAAAAAAAAAACTTTTGATAAAAATTTCCCCAGAAATGCTGACAGATGTGTCTACAAGATTCCTTGTAAAATATTTGATAAAGTTTCTTACGGTCAAACCGGTAAAAATCTTGAACTAAGATAAATATAGCAATAGAAGAGGACAAGATTGTAATGCTCTATTTATTCTTGTGAGAGATTTTAACTATCCAATTGATTTTCAAAAAGTTGAGAAAGTTGTATGTAGTAAGTCGATGGTCGACAGGAATATTGCAGAATCAGATCTCATAAAAACAGCTTTGAAAATAATATGAATATTGCTTTTGGGTTATACAAATTGGATTCATTAATAATTAATAAAATTTGAGAAGAATTTAAGATACATTAGACAAATTAAATTTTTGGGTAGAATAACAATTGTGTTTCATGGATCCTTGACTACTTACCTTTGTCATAAAAAGTGTTGAGGTGGCCGTGAGGTGTAGTCTCGTCCTTATATGACTTCCTGTTAATATATATATATATATATATATATATATATATATATATATATATATATATATATATATATATATATATATATATATATATATAAGAATGAAAATAGCTAAAAAGCGTCCACACCACCACTTTAAATTAAGTCGTTTCTAAAATTTTACATGTTTAAAGATTTTTTTCATTTGTGTCAATGTAAAAATTAATAAATTTGTAACAAAAGAACCTTAGAAAACTTACTGTGGAAAATTTTGGATTTTCCTAATTCAGCATGTGTAAATTTGAATAAACCAATAATTGTGTAACAAAATATGATGCTGATTTAACCCTTTTGAGAAATTTCAAGTGAGGGGGGATGTAGAACAGCTGCTGAGTGACGCGGACTGGGGACACCATTTTGTAATTTGTGGGCATTGGTTGTGGAAAATTGTGCTAATAATTTTGCGCCTTCTGAGCCAAATTGTAAGGTTTCAGACTGAATTTATAATTTGGAACCCATGTTAATGTCCCCTGCTGAAGAACTGGGACTGGAAATTTGAAGGACCTCAAGAATTACATGTAGATGGCGAAAGGGATAAAACCATCACTCACTGGGAGGTGCACTATTAGTCCTTGCATTTAGATCTCTAGC